AATAGCACCAGCTTGCAGTATTTATGAATAGGTTCCTGGACAGCACAACAACTCTGGCAGCCTACTCACCTGTGGATCTCCATTTAACTCGGCCCTGGCACCTGGAAGCTAACTGCCTTACAGACTATGATCACAGACTATCATGTATGATTGCACTTCTTTAATCCTGCATTACCACAGAGATTTGCCATTTATGTCACACTCGTCTTGCAACTGAGGTCTTAAATTTCAGTAAAGGTTGGACCGGATATCTTTCGAGATCCTTCCAGTCTGGGCTGTTCTATGATTCCAGGACACAACTGTGATTCCTCACACCACCTGACTGAACCTGATGCATTTGAAAAGGCTTTTCAATGCCCTGGCCCAGTCTGGGCAGGTTTTCATCGTTCTGGTTCATAAGCAGCAGCACCTTAAGGCTAAGGTTTGGGATGTTGAACCTCCCACGTGAAGAGCATTTTTCCCTCCCTCCTTTCCATCTGTCAGGACCTCGTGCGATACTGGAGAAGCAAGCATAGGATCCAGTTTTCCTATGTGACTGCTGTGCCCTGTGTGCCTCCCCTCCAGAGAACGGGGGGAACAAGAATAACTCGATGTTTATCAGCATTTTCCAGCCAGTTCTTGTGGACCATGGTAAGAGCAGCCCAGAGGGACAGCGACTCACTGAAACTCCAGCAGCAGTAGTTGCAGCCCAGGGCTCCAGCCCGTACCTTATCCAGTTTGTCAACGCTGGAGCAGATTGTTCGGAACTTGCTGTCTGGGACACCGCAAACTGCAAACATCCCATCAAGGATGCGCCGATCGTTGACCTGGGGGAGAGGGAGCAAGTCATTAACTATGAACTCAAACAGATGCTCCAGCTGCGTCCAGTTTCCCTCTAGTTTCAAGCATGGAAGAGAAACTAGCAGATGGCTGCCAAGATCTTTTGCTGTTTGCAGTTTCTGTCTCTTCCCCATTCCTGGGGAGCTAAGCTGCCTCTCTGCCCACAGCAGGCCAGCTAGCACAACTGACTCCTACCAAGCCTGGGTAGAGCTATCACGTTCTCCTTCTAGAGGCACAGACACCCCCACTCAACAGAGAAGAAAAACCAATGGGGCCCATGAGTCCTCTCATGTGGACACGTAAAAACAGCTCAGGAACAGAGCACGGACTGAGGACGTGAGTTCAGTACGCTACCCTGCTCTCTGAGTGTAGGAACAAAGGGACATCTGATTATGTTAAAACCTCACTAAGGAATTTTTTTTTTTATAGTATAGTGAATTCCATCATTTAATTATGCTCTGTAATAGTAGGTAATTGAGGCCAAAGGCTCAGCTGGATTCAACATTTCCATGGGTAGCAAGAACATCTACAATTAAATTAGGCATAAACAAAGACTGCTCAGGAGTTTGTAATCCTCCAGCATTGACATGAACCAGACAGTCACTCATGGAAGACAAGAATAACTGCAGGCAGGTTATTCTGCTGTTCCCCATTGCAGGGGTGCCTGCTTATCCTCAAAGGCATCCACTTTCACCACTGCCCAAACACACACTAGCTGGACTTGATCTGGACAGGCAGTTCCTGTGCACAGCTCTTCAGCTCATCCCAGATGGGTTCAAGGGCAGGTAACTGCCCCCTTACCCAGCAGGGGCTGCAGTTAGGAGTGCCACACCCAGCCTGCACTGCTCACCTCCCCTGCAGAGCCCAGCAACGACCCAGCTCTGGGTCCTTCTCAGAGATCCCACCACCCTCCTGCACATCAGGTACTCCTACCCATTGCTCTGCTATTGCTGTACACCCTTCCCCATCCTGCCTGACCTGCACACCCAGCACCGTTTGCTGCCAAGATAACAGAGGTGTTTTGAAGCAAAGAGCAAGCTCAACCTACAGTAGGGCATGACTCTTCTTCAGGAAGAGGCCTCAGCCCCAGAAAGGACTTAGTGGGAAGGCAGGAGTCTGCAGACAACACAGCGCACACACTGAGCAGATGTCCCTACTTGGGGGGGCACCGGGAGCTGGGACAAGGGCAGGGATCCTGGGCCAGAGCCTCTGTTTTACTGCAGGCAGCGAATATGACAGTCACCTGGTTAGTTGGCTGCTGGACGTTTTGCAGGGGACCGTGGTTAGTGCTAGAGAGAACTCTGTAACTGCAGCCTCAGGAAACCTCCTTGTGTTCCCAGCTAAAGGCAAGTCTGAGCTGAGGTCCAGCCTTTTAGCATACACACCCATGAGGAGGCAGAAGTGGGATGAACTTCTGGATCACGCCTTAGTGGGCGTTAGAGTTGGAACAGGTGCTGCTCCATAAAGCCACAGGAACAGTGACCACTGCTTCCCACCGTGGCACAGAGAAACCTGCCCGGTCTCACCTTAATGAGAAAGTCCCCAAGCTGCAGGTCACTCAGGATCTCGTGCACGATCTTCAGGCACTCGGCATCAGGAATCATCGGGTCAAACTGGCCGGCAATGTCAAAATCCTGGGGCACAGGAAAACGTAGTGAGCAATTAAGCACTGCTGGCATGGCTGCAGCAATACAGCTTCAACTCTGCTGTTAACAGCAGTTTGTTTACAAAAAGCAACAGAAATGGGATGTAAGGGAGCACTAGCCCTCGCTGATAGGATCCAGAAGGGACAGGATGAGGGTTATGACCCTCTTTCATCGAAGGCAGCACTGCTCTTGGGTCCACTGCATCGCAAAGAGTTTGTATACTGTGTCGTGGCCAGTGCAGACAGTTTGGGAGAAGCCGTTCTGCTTCTCCCTGCTTTCTACTTCTGGTGGTGTGTGACCTGCTCCCTGCCTCTGACACAGCAGTTTACTGTGTGATACACTTTGAAACAGATATCCTTGAAAAACAACAAAAAGGAGACAGCAGAGCGATCATCAGCAGTAAATAAATAGAACAAAGGAACCAGGAAGGGGAGGAGAAAACTACTTACTAGTTGGTATGACCTAAATGCCAAATGTTTCGCCTTGATTCTTAAGATATTCTTTTTTTAATACACATGCCAATCAAGTTAATGATCAGGGAAGAAGACAAGAGAAGCAATCTCAACTGAGGCAAAACCAAAGTTTCAACTGCCAAGACACAAAAAGAAATCAGAAAGCCCGAGTGGTCTCCACCAGAGATTACCAGATGAACTAGCACGTAGAACTAAAGCCCAACAGCAGGATGTTTTAATAGGCTGGTACCCCGTGACTGGAAAATAGCAAAGACAACATCAGTGTTCAGAGAGAAATAAAACACAGAAGCAACAAGAGACCTCTTATTTGACTCCCATTTATGAATCCCCAAATGCAAAGTCTTCAATGAGATTTTGAGTACAAGAATAATTTTAATTAAGTGGGTAAAATTTAAGTGGGTAAATTTCAACACCAAGCTTCCAAAATAAATTGGGGCAATGAAGGAGGAAAGAGATGAGATTACATCAATTAATCCCCAATCAGCTGAGTGCAAGAAAGGCTGATGCAATCCCTGTGGAACTTGGACAAAGTCTGGTACTGTCAGGAAAGTGCCGCTACCACTGTACGTGGCACAGGTGAAATCTCACTGAAAAAAACCAACTAAGGGCTGGTGAATTATATTTAAGAAAAGATGCAGAAAAAGCCACTAGGCTGAGCAAAGCAGCAAAGCATCTCCAGGGAGAGAAGGTAACAGAGCTTGATTTACGTGGCCTAAGGCAGGGAAGATTTCTGTGAACATTTCCCAAATGTTTATCCGGGAAAGGGGAAGAATCCATACCAAGGGATGACTGCTACCGTTTAAAGAGCTGCACTGGCACAAGGAGAAGTAAACAATCAGACACAAATAAGTTTAGCCTGTATATTAGAAGACTATTTCTAGCTATACTAGGAGTAAGATCTTGGAACAGTCTTTCAGATGAGACAGCAGGCAAAGACCTCAAATTGTCTGGAAATGGGAATTCACCAAGCTGGAGCTGGAAGGTATCCACAGGGGTTGTATGATGAAACAGGAATATTCTCAAACAGGAATTTGTTTGCAATACGAGGCCCTGGGGACTGTGTTAGTAGAGCAGAACAAAGCCATTCCTCGGGGCTACCACACTTGCCTGAGAAAGCCATAAAGGAAATTGCTTTCTTACCTGTTCTGTAATTTGGCCTCTGGGTTTTTCCCTTCCTCTGAAATAAAGATTGACTAAGCACGGGACAGAAGTAGCATATGCTACGGCTGAGTCACTCGCTTGCCTGGTTCATGTGTCCTGCTAACACACCCAGTTCAACTGTTGCCAGATTCGCGATCAGGAAGAAATTCTTCCCCTCCACCAGCCTGGCAAGCACTGTGGGGTGGAGCAAGGAGCTGCCCTCCTCTACAGTGCGAAGCAGGCCAGATACCTGGGGCACCTGGGGGCTGTATTACAAAGTTCCCTGATACACCAGCACCCCGTGTCGCAGCCATCATCCTCACTCTCCCACTCTCAAGCTGTTTTTCACACCCATAAGGGCAGGCTAAGGAGAAGATTAGTGGATCCTCTGAGCTTTCCACAGCCACAGGGAAGGTCACTGCAGGGTAACACAGCCATTGGTCCTACGTTTTTATGGTGCTACGTCCCCACAAGCACTGCCCAGCCTACAGGCTCGCTCAGCAGAGTCCCTGTCAACGGCCAAACTCACACACTGGTAGAACTCCCTGTAGCGGCCCCTGGTCATGGCCGGGTTGTCCCGCCTGTACACCTTAGCGATGTGGTAGCGCTTAATGTTGGTGATCTTGTTCATCGCCAAATAGCGAGCGAAGGGCACCTGAGACGGTTGGGTTAAGGATGGGAACGGGAAGGGATCACCCCACCCAGTTATCAGTCACAGGCGGTGCTGGGTCCTCACTATCTCCCCAACACCCAGCACAGTATGGTGCACACCCGTGGGGCACAGCAGCTGCTAAGAGACGGCTGGACTTGCCACAGCTCACCAAGGTCTCCACAACTGTCCAAGACATGGCCCACACGTGCTGCTATTAAGTGTTCCTACAGTCATCTTCCAGCACCGCCTTAGGTTGGATCTCAGTCTCGTGCAGGCTGTGCACCGCAGCAGCCTGTCTGGGTACCCTGCTGTAGGAAAAACCCCACTCAATGCTGATCTTCCTTACCTCCACATACAAGCGTTACTTCACCGAACAGAAGCAACGTACAGTAAATAACTGAGCAAGGGTTCTGCACCCACTGAACCACTCTGCCTGCTCACAGCCTCCCTGTCGGTACGGGGTCAGAGCCAAAAGACTGTCCTTCCTCCTCCTCCTCCCTTGCCCTCTGGACAGCACTGCCCCAAAAGGAGGGCAGCAAAGGTGCCAAGACCCCTCAGCCCTGGCTGTGGCAGGATACTGTCAGGTCGTAGCGCAGGGACAGCAGCTCTCCTCCTTGATCTTTCAGATCGTAGATGAGCTTCGAGTCTTCACCGTATTTCCCTGTCAGCGTCTCCTACAACAAAAGGACACACGAACAAACAGCATCTTCAGTGACAGGGGATCAGCCCTAGACCACACAGAAAACAAGGAGCGAAAGGGAGGACACTTAGAGACGGAAGAAGAAAACTCAGCCCTCAACAAATCTCAAGGTTTCAACTGCAGGATCCCCATCAGCTCAGCCAACTTGCTGTGTCCTCACTCACCTTCAGCTCGAACACCGGCGTATCAATGACTTCTGCTCCATGGCGCTTGAAGCAGGTGATGATCACATTGAAGACTCTCTCACGAATGGCCATTTGCTTGGGGCTGTAGTCCCGGGTGCCCTGGGGTGGGATAAGGAAAAGAAAAGCAAAGGACATGTTGGGTTAAAGGCATGCAGTAGCGACAGACGTGAAAGGCAATGTGAAGAAGCTATCATACTGCTAACAAAACCAGAGAGATCAGGTCCAGACACCAAATATTGGGAGAGGTGCTAAAAAGCAGCACCAAAAAACACTGGAAAACATCAGGACATAGCTCAGACATGATCTGCCACGGTCTGTAGAGCTAAATCTAAGTCAAGGAGTTTCATGATGTTTCAGGAAACAAAGGAGCTAACAGATCCAACAGTCAGAGAGCTCAGTGCTTTTGAGCATGACAGCACAGCTAGGACCTGTCCACAGCTCCGATTCAGACATATTAGCCAATCCCCTGCACAACGGAGCCACCGTAGAGGTAGAATCAGGGGACAGGCACGCTTTGAAGCTGTGGAACAACCAGCAGCTCTACAGTTTCCAAACGCACATAGAGAGAAATCATCTTTTCAAAGTGCAATACCTGTGAAGTGCCCATCTACTGTTCACTGGGATGCGCTTCCTTTTAATTTCTTCGCTGTTAAGAGTCACCGAATTATTTCGATTACCATCTTTAGGGTCTCTTAGCAACACATAAATCACTGTTAATTAACTAGACCTCCCACTTTCATTTTCTAGGGACTGGCAGTTAGGCAGGAGGAAGCAGAGGGAGCAGGCACTTTGTAACACCCCACCTGCAGGTCGCACAGCAGAGAGCAGCTTTCAGCAGTACACTGACGTGGCTGAGACAGGCTGGAAACCCAAGCTGTGTTTCCCTGGCACTCACAGAGCTGCAAAATCATCTCTGCACGTCTTTAAGCAGTGAAATACCCTTCCACTTTCCAGGTCTCACACCACAATTACATTACCAAAACATACAATAAAGGAAATGGACAAGGGAGACAGTTTTGAGACATTTCCTAAGTCAGTGGCATTAACATAACCCATTTTATTTGTGAGCAACATTCATAACTGTCTCCACACCACAGCATGGAAGCGCAGTTGGTCTCTGGTCAGCTGCTAGTGATGAAACATTTAGGTTACAAAAAACTTTCAGCATAAATTGCATTATGGACACTATTCTCAGGGACCTGGAGACGGAAAAGCTACCCCTGAAGGAAGGGTCCTTCTGCAAGAGGACACAGAAATGTCAGCAGCTGGCCAGACCTCCTCAGTAAACGGGATTACCCACCCCCACAGACTAAGGCAAGATCAAAAGCCATAAGACCTTTCTTGCTCCCCACATTTCAATATGTGCTGAACATTCCTGGCAAACACTGCCGGGCCTCTGGGTTTCTTTGGCTAGCTTATGCTTTGCAGTTCCCCCACAATGAGCCTTGCACCAGCAGAGCTGCACTTCACAGCACTCCATCCTCACCCAACCTACCAGCAGCTTCATCCACTCTGTCCAAGTCAACATGGAACAGGATCCTTGATCCACGAGAGCCAATGTCTGCAGGTACCAGTGGGGTCAGTGCTACAAGAGCTGAAGAGTCCTAACCCTAAACTCATCGAGGCAATGCAAGTCATGACCTTACTTCAAATAGTGCAAGCCAAGCAGATACGAGACCTCTCACACTGGGCAGCTACGATAAAGCCTGACCAAAAGGGAATTTAATTTCCTGACCGCACCAGCTAGTGGTTGGCTTGTCACAGAAGCACCAGAAAGTCTTTAAGTTAGTAGGGTATCTGGGTCGGACGCTGTCAGGGGCGTTTTCACCCCTCTCTCCCCTGCTGCGAAAAGTGAAAAGGGAAACAGAAATGAGAACAAAGACAGGCAAGTCTGTGCTGAGATTTTGCACACACAGGTGTGTGGGGGGTGCTGCGTGCGTGCATGGGAGTAGGTCGTGCACGCAGAGAGGCATGTGAGTACGCGGGGGAAGTTACCTTTGGGGTCTTGAGCACAAACTTGTGTTTCCCCTCATCTCCCCCCAGCTGCGCCTTCATCTCCAGCAGTTTCGCCACCTCCTTCGCAATCTGAGGAGGGAACAAGGATGGAGCTGGGGGTAAGCCTACCTGCCAGACCCAGCCCACAGGCCTTCCCCAATACCTTCAGTCTCAGTATTCCCAGTACACCCAGACTCCCCAGCCTCAGTACATCCACTATTCCCAGTCTCCCACAGCAACCAGAAGGGTACTCCCTGCTCCTCTCCAGTACCCCCTACTTCTGCTACAAACACCCCAATCTCAGCACCCCCAACACCCCCACAACCTCCAATACCCTCAACATCTGCCTCCCCAGTCCCCACACCTCCCGTCCTGCCAAGTCTCCGCACCAACCCCAGGCCCAGCACCACCAGCTCCTGCTACGTGCACCCCAGCATCGGTAGTCTCCAGCATCCTCCTCCCAATCCTAACACCCACAAGCATCCTTCTCTCCAATCTACCACCAGTATCACCAGTTCCCACTCCCAGTCTCCCCTGCACCCTCTCCCCAGGCACCTCAACCCCTCCAATCTCTGGCCCAGATCAGTACTCCCATCCTCCCCAACACCCCTCTTC